TCTAGTACATTTCTATAGTACAGACTAGAAATTACGACTTTTGCGCAGTTACAGAATGTTGAGTATTTCTAATTACCCACTCTCTGGGAAACATTTGCCTGAATTTGGTGTTTTGTTTGTTTTTTTTCGTTATTAGAGGGGAAAGTTGTAATTCATGTTTATATAATTTATATATATATATAAGGTTACAGTAACTACTGTACCTTGCTACATTAAATAGCGCACATGCCATTGGAACGGGCTGCTGGAGCTGGGGATGATGCGAGAGTCGCCGGAGGACCCCTGAATCACTGGAAAGAACAGCAGCCCCCCCCTCGGTATTGTAAGCACACAGCAGAAACCCAAAGCCCGTTATTACGGAAAAAGTGAGCTTGCCAGTAACTGCATAAATACAAAATCTGCAGAGGTGATCCCCGGATATGTGGCAGTGATGATAGTTATGTAAGGATGTATACAGTACAATGCACACATTCCAGTTCTGTTTGGTATTGTACACCAAGCTATGGCTTCTACATTAATAGATTCATGAGCCACGTGGCAGGTGGACAATCGAGTCGTCGTCCGTCGCCTTTGCGACGAAAGCCGGCACTTGACCTTCACAAAGGCGAGGGTCCCCATTTGGCCATTTCAGCACGGTGCATTGGTCAGATTCGATCTGCCCAGATGGGTTTTCTTTGACCCCACGGGGCCCAGCGTGTTCCATCGACCACCATGCGGCCTCCTGGCGGCCCGGGGGTCACTTTCCGGGTTGGGCCTTTCGGGGCTGTCCGGTGTGGCTCCGCTTCACGAAACGCCGCATGTGTGCTTTCGGACCGAGCGAGCAGCGAGACCTGCTTTACAAAGGCCCGGTTTGCAGACCCTGGGACTGCCTCTTTGCATATCAATATGGTCAGGCCTGAATGCAGCCACTCAGCTGATAAATAGGATCACTATCTCAGCTTTTCAGGCCCCTAGTCATGCCTCACAATAGCAATTTATGCTTTAGCAAGAATAATCTCGCAGCCCGAGAGCGCTGACTTTAACACTCCTCTTTTGAACAACAGAGCAGCTTATGTTGAAACCAGGCTGAAAGCTCTGTCTTCTACACACAGCTTGTCTGTCAAAAGCACCTCTATATCATACACCCTGCATTACTCCCATTTGCTCTGAACAGCTCTTTGTTATTTCAGTGTCAGATTTCCCCAAAAACAGGCCGGCTTGAACTGGAGATATCTGACTATAAAAAGGACAGTTCAGCCTGTATTCTCAGTTTTAACTACAACACAATAATCTCACACATGCATCTCTTTCCCATAACTGCTCGTCCACTGCAAGGTTATGGCAAGGATGAAGCCAATCACTGAAAGCAGAATGAGACAAGGTACACAGTAGAGGATGAGCAAGTCTATCACAGAGTTCCTGGAGGCCCAGTGGCAAGCTAATCAAATCCAGTATAATCCCCCTGGAATGTTACCTATCCTACGTAATACCGCGGTACCAGCACTATTTTGCCTTCCCTTAAGTAGAAGTACATCTGCTGTAAGAAAGTCACTGTGATTTAACATACCTCATCCTGCATTTTATTCCTCAGTTTTAAATTCCATTTACATCAGGTGAGTAATTTGTCTCTATAAATGATGGAGTACATGAATAAACAGACTCTGCTGTGTTTGTTTACTGTTGTACAGACAGACATGTATATTCCATTAGCTGTGTATGAATGTATTTAATCTCTCTGTTCAGATTCTTTATTGACTGAGTGTTTATTACGCATATATCATTTGTTAAATAATATAAATTATAAAAAGTATAATAAACTTTGGCTCAGGTAAATCAAATTGACACTACTGCATAGTATCTATAAGCACATTTTGCTGCGCCCATAAACAAAGAAGGCAGGTATCGATCCAGTCGTCTCCCCGCAGCCTTGGGCTGGCAGGTTGGGTTAGCGATATTAATGGCCCCTGAACAGAACACAGACTAGCAGCTCCTGTGGCTCCTGCCAGTGGTCAGCAGTTTAATCCAATACTGGACACAGGTCAAGGGAGAGACAAGGGTCAAAGGTCATTGTCCCAAAGGTCTTAAATGACCCTTCCAGATTGCTTACACATCATGGCTCAGAGTTAACTTCAAATTTATCCTTGGAGTCCCGAGCCCATCTTGGGTCAGGCTTCTTACCAAGCTCTGCTGTAATACTTACATAGCCTGGGTCTTCCACACAAACCATATATGTTCACAGAAATCTACTCAAATACTTAATACATCAGCTGACAAGGAGTGCATCCTCTGTACGTAATATGGACCAGTCAAAGCTCAGCTTATTCTGAGCTTTATTAACTAATCAATCAAGACACATTTCATAATAGTAATTGTCCATGTTAAAGTATATAGATTTGTAAGGGAATCTTCGCTTCTTTTAAATCAGGACACTCATACTCATTTGTTTGTTTTCTTAGTAACATTAGCTTTACTAAGACTTCAAGCAGATTTAAAGTACATACAAAAGAACAATGTAATGTCCCAACAAAGGGAACATTACCATTTATATGCATATGTCATCAACCATCTTCCAATCAATTAATATATAAATTAATATAATATTGTACATGAAAGGTTATAAACAATATTAGTCCTGGATAACACAAAATAATGATTAAAACAACTTTTCTACTATATATTCAGTATGATTTTAAACTATTACAGTATAAATTATAGTGGATGATTTACAGCAAAGATAAGCGTAAAACTCTTCCTTTTACAGTCTTCCATTATCGCACAAGCATAAGGCAAACTGCAGCCTAAGTCCAGCATTAATCTCAGAGGCTAAATCTAAAGCATAAGAGAGAAAAAGGACAGAGACTGAAAGGAATAATAAAAATCTTTACAACATGGAAATTAAACATTGCAAATGCATTCTTGAATCAAAAATAGTTATCAAAAATAAAATTATCCAGTGAAAGTTTACATTTATCTAGGCAAAGGTCTTTTGTAATGCTGCCGCTCAATATATAAATGGTCAGCTGAAGATAAGGAGGTCATTATGAGTGACTTCAGGTCTGGATTTATGGCGTGATGGTACCACCAGGCCAAACATGGTGCCTGTGAGGTTAAGTGTTTCGCATCTGCTTTTAAAAATGCATGACGACACACTTAGGCCAGACAGAGCCGACTCATTAAGATGGCAGAATTTGTGTGACACTCCACAACCCAAGAATATTTAAGCATTAATTAGTTCTGCCAGAAAGTTTACATCCAACATGACTGCAGGTACCAGGAAAAGTGTAACTGTTGCAGCATTAAGCTATATTCTACATGGCCAATACCCTCTAAGCAGGGGTGGACACTAATTCACAAGTGCACACGTTTATCCCTTTATCAATATGTAAATGACTGACTGATGCACCACTACCCATTAAGCCACCAGTTTTTACCTGTAAATCTCTCAGGCTTCATCTAAATGAGGACTTCAGTCAATTAAGAACTGAGACCAGTTTACGAAATACCCGTCAATATTCGGGGGGGGGTCCCTATCTCATTGTTGCGCAATATCGATCTTGAGACTCCCTTAAAATTTTGGTTTTGAGGCTTTCAGGGGGTCTCGTGGGTTAATCGGGGGTGTCGGACCCCCTCGTATTTTGCACACTGACTGAGACACATTGATTAGTGCATCACATCTCTGTCTCGAGCCATCAGCAGGGCCCGTGCGGAGTGCAACCACTTCCGATTAGGCTCGGCTTTGTTGGGAGGCCATCTTTGGAAAAAATGATTAGCTGGCCTTATTATTTTCTATTTGGCGCGTGTCATTTTAGATTCCACATGTTAGCCTGCTCAGCTGACGCTGTGCCAAGGGGGTATTTGGATGACTGGCAATAGTGACCATGTCAGCACCTGGTAACTAGCATGTTTTGTTCAGAACAGAGACCAGAATAATAGGAGTTTCTTTGATAGTACAGACTGTTTCATAACTGTATGTTTTTTTTTTAAATTTTTTGTCAATTTTAACCAGCCAGATTTTGAATGATCTCTCTTCACCTTGTTCCTTCTTCATATATGGGTGAGCATTATAATAATCTTAAGGGCTTGAACCGAAGGCAACTCTACCTCTTTTTCAATTTCTTGAAGGCATTTAATCTCTAAAGAGGATAAATAACTGGAACTCCCCATCAGACTTTTAGAACTGAAGAAGCCTTTTGGATGAGAGGTGTAACGTCTTCAAAAAATAGAAAAAAATAATTCCAGTTGCCTTCAATTCAAGCCCTTAAGATTATCATGTCCTGGACGACTGAGAACCTACATAGACATAGCGTTATAATACATGATCACATTTAATAACATCAATCCCAGTTCCACTGCAATGGATAATTTGAAATCCATTTCAAACTTGATTGAGTACAGATTTGCATTGAGCTTTGTACCATCTTTGCACCATAGAGGTATATTGATGTGGTCAGATAATAAACATGAATAATATGTACAGAGACGAGCATAAGCATAGACATAAGGTACATCTTAGCGCCCAACTTGATTTCAAAAACAGTGAGACAGGCTGAACAGGTTTTCAATCCAGAAGGGACCTTACGTGATATGATGTCGGTCTCTGATCCAGATTCAGAATTTATTGGCTTCACTGCTTCCACAGAAAATAATGTTTAAATGCTACTTGCATGAAATCCCTTAATGCTTATGTTTTGACACTGCATCTGTTGGCAGTTCTTATTATGATGTGATACTATTAAATTAAGGACCTAAAAAAAAGATCCAATCAAATGATAGCCAAGAAAGCCCCCATTTTAAAGAGATATTGATAACTATGTACACAAACGAAAGGCGAACTTTAGAATACAGTATAATGAATTGATTTGTGTCACTAATTATTTTCTGACATTGTGATGGGGTAATTTCTGAAACACTCAGATCGCAATGCAGACTCCAGGTAAACATGTGACTCGATTCCCTGTCATATTTTCATTGACAGTTTCTTTATGAACTGCTACCAATTGCTAAAAGAGTCACAACATGGATAAAATCCTGCACAACTTTAATGATAAAAAAGCACACATACATACGTTAATTGATGTGATTTGAAAATAACATTGGGTCTACTGGCATTCAGCTGTTTACAACGAAGCGTCACATTTCAGTTTCTGTTTATGCAGCATTTCTCTTTCTTTACAAATTTCAGGCCTTGCAATTCTGTTTATTCATGGCAGGACTGTGACGTCAATCCCAGCCAAAGTCCTGGCCGGTCATTTGGTAGAACTTGAGGTTGAAAGGTCTGTAGAAGTCTCTGAGCCTCAGTAGCACCTCCTCAGGAATGTGCGGATGGGGCCGTCCTTTGGACTTCCCCAGACAACGGGGGTGGCTGCTGCCCTCTGGTTTCTTCAGACAGGGGAAGCCCTTGGTCTGGTTGAAGTAGAAGTGTTTGTCACTGATGACACGCTTCAAGTCCAGGAAGTCCTGCACCCGGCCAATCTCCCCGGCCGGGTCCGTCACCAGGCGCTCGCCACTGACAAACAAGAGACTGGAGAGCGGGAAATACTGGAGCCAGTTCTCCAAGTGCTTGGCGTATATTCCGATGCGGACGGCGCTCCAGGAGGTATCGATCAGCCCACTGCTGAAGTTCTTGAAGGCGAGATACTGGAAGGTGGGCAGCCCCGGGTTTTTGGAAAGGGTCTGAGTGTAGTCAGATATCGCCCTGGTGACGGGGTCACGCACGACCACGATGAGTTTGGTGCTGCGGCTCATGGTGAAAACCCGGCCTGGAGCTTCTTTGGTCACAAAGTAACTGGGCGTCTTCTCCATAGTGATCTGTCCATCGAGGGTCCGGGGCATAAGGTTTCTGACGGAGAAAGTGACAGCACAAGTCAGAACATGATGTCACATCAGAGTTACTTCAATGTGGGCATATACTCCTAAATTCATCATTCTTTCCTTATATTTTTCCATACTTATGTATACATAATAGCATATTTTTTACATCAAAGTTTATTACTAAATCCTTCTAGTCTCATTTTGACAGCTATCTTCTAAATCTAACAAACTGGTTCTAGCTAGAAATTAAAACTCAACACAAACTCAATATATTCACGTTGTGCCAAGACCACTTCAAAAATCTATTTAAAAGCTAATCAATATTATACAAAATATATTGTAAATTGTCTAGAGTAATGTACACTGGTACAGGGGATGTGATAAAGTATAAATAAGTCATACTTATTTGCATGTCAATAGAATGAATAGAATGAATTATTATAGCATTCATGACTGGTGACTTGGAAAATGCGGTGATTACTGCCGAAATTCATATTACATGACCCCAAAGCCACACAAACATAGGTCCCCACCAGTGCCATTACAATAAAATCTTCACCCTTGGCTGAGCAATTTTGTGATGGCAAATCTTTCATTCGAGCAATGAAAATTTAACTTGTGATGTAATGACAGTCAACATAGTGGTAATAGGGGAAAAAAAACTTAAAAAAAATAATTTCTCTGCTTGTCTGAACTGTAAACAGATGCCTGATAAGCTAATTAGTGGTCTTTCTATGGGTTTCAAAAATATCTTGAGTTGCAACTGACTTGGAAAGAAGGCCTATAACCAGAGCAGCTGACTTGCACATGCTCTGTGCTGTGGTGCATGTGGGCTTGCACATGCTCTGTGCTGTAGTGGAGGGGGCTTGCACATGCTCTGTGCTGTAGTGCAGGGGGCTTGCACATGCTCTGTGCTGTAGTGGAGGGGGCTTGCACATGCTCTGTGCTGTGTTGCAGGGGGCTTGCACATGCTCTGTGCTGTGGTGCATGTGGGCTTGCACATTCTCTGTGCTGTGGTGCAAAGGACTTGCACATGCTCTGTGCTGTAGTGGAGGGGGCTTGTACAGTCACAGATAATATTTCCCTTATTTACACTAAATTACCATTTTTGGCTGGGTGTTCCAGCACGACATGGAATGTCCTTAAACAGCATTTTTAAATTTTATTTTATAACTTTTCCTGTGTTCTTAGATAGGAGATGGAACTCTAAAGTAGATCACAATACAGCAGAAATAAAATCTGCATGCTACAATCCAGCATTGCAAGTGCAATTCTGCAGTTAATTTTCATGACTGTGATTAATACCATAATACAGTATGTCACAAACAATACATAAGAAAGCCATATTCACAATTAATGGAGAACAGAAGTACTTCTTTGTATTGTTTATGGTCAGATTTTTAAAATATTTTTTAAAAATTTTGTCGATTTTGAACATCAATGTTTCAAATGTGGTAAAATGTGATTTATTAGTCGTATCTAATAGCTAACATATGAATGCAAAATGTCTTCAGAATGTATGCAAAATACTGTCCAAATTTTGATTCCTAACATTCCTTCTCAGTGCTCCAGGAAGCACATGGTGCAAGGACAGGCACTCACAAGTACAGTCACTATAGACAATTCAGATACACCATTTCACAGATATGCACATATGAACTGTGGGATAAAACTGCAGTAACCAGGAGAAACCCATATGGACAAGGAGAGTTTGGACAAACTCAACAGGCACAAAGCCAGGCGGAGTTTGAAACCACAACGCTGGAATACCGCCCATACTTAAGGACCAAATGCAGTTATTAGATTTAAGGCCATATTATCAAGGTCTTACATGTTTTCTTGCCTTGCTGTATGTATGGTGTATGCAGACATGACGGGTGTAGCAGGGCTGGACAAGGCCACATTGTACTCAGTGCTGCGAAGACCCGCTTAACTGACAAGTGAAGTATGGCAGCCATGCGGATGCAGACATTCTTAATCCATATGTAGGCGACGTATTACATCAAAAAGGCAGGACCCAAAAACCAGACTTACGTCAGTTTCATACTGGTTGGTCCTCACTGGCATGATATTTTGTGGAGGTGAAGTCTGAAGTCATATGGAGGAAAAAAATTCTCTCCATAATTCTGGTTTAGAGGTTACCCAACATGTTATTCTCTGACATGTGCCTTTTCCTTGAGGGAGTTTTATTTCCCCCATTATATACAAATAAGAGTACAGATTTTGAGACAAAATCTAGCACTGGAGACCGATTACGCAGCTGTCTTTTGTGTGTAAGTGGAGGTTCTGTGCCATATTAGATGTATACCATCAAGAAATGGAACCATAAAACAGTGATAAGGAGAGACCATTATTTAGATATACTATTTCCACTCTGTCATTTTAACTGACCAGTTCCCTAAGTCAAAAGCCAAACACGCACAGATATGTAAACCTTATTTTTTTCTAGCCACAAATTTTTTTTAATTTTGCCTACCCTAAAAAATAAGGTACAAGATTTGCTTATTTAATAAAAAACACAGCTAAAAATACATATTTCAAAATATTATTACGACTGGATTCAAGTCATGTGGCCATATAGTTACTTTTCTCGGTAATCTTTCGGTTTTCGGGAGGTCAGTCTTTAATGCTCCAGTCTCAAACGCCAGCGGAACATCAAAGGAAGTGCTGAGATGTCTTTGGCTTAGCCCCCCTCCCCACCCCCCCCCTCCTGCAAGCCAGGCCATGGGTACGGCTGCAGGGCTGCCTATGAAAACAACTCAAATAATTCCATTCAAAGAAATATAAGGCCGGTGCATCAGCCCGTGTCTGTGACTGACCAGATTATTACATGTAGAGTTACGACTGGCGCTTGATTGATGGGACTCTTTGCTCCATTTTCACATTGGAATGGCAAGGGCATTCATAAAAAATATTTGCCAGCTGCGCACTGTACCAGAGAGGTAACATACTGCTTGGCTAAGTATATGTACATAGCTAAGTGCATGTTTAATTCAGAGCAATCAAGCTAATGGAAGCCATGCTGGGCACGTCTTGTATGTTGACACCGTGTTTACATTTTGCAGCCCTGGCTTGTAATCAGGGGATAGTTTGGATAATATACAAAGCCAGCGAGGAGGCCACATACTCCCATAGGCCCTGCCGTGAGGTAAGGCCACGCCACATGTCAACTTCCTCGGTCCAGCCTCAGAGCGACGGAAGTGTTAGCGCTGCAGTGGTGACCGAACACCATGTGAGGCGCGCCAATCGGACCTCCGCTGTCTTCCTTTTGGTCTCCATCTGATAGCCCCGGCGGCATTCTGGGAAGGCTCGGGGAGCTTCTGTTCGGCTGTTTGTTTTAATCACACCTTCCACAAAGCAGCTGTGTCCCAATCGCCTGCATGGTGCGTGCAGGCAGGTGTTATCACCCTGTTCAGGCGAGCAGCACATTGCTTACAGGCCTGCACAAGAAACGTGGGTGGCCTTAAATTAGCCTCTTTAAAGGACCCATGCTGATAGATTCCACTTCAATCCACATAAGAAGATTTTCATAAAAAAAAAAAAAAAAATCATTCCTTCTCTGACCCGATAATTTATCTACAAAACTTTGTATGGCTGTCAATGAAAGCTAAGAAAACAATAATTAAACCAATACAGCTTGAAAGAGTTTGGTGTTCTTGATAATCTAAATAGTTGGGTTAATTAAGGTGAATAAGACCTTTACAACTGTGGTTCTTTTAAAATAAGGACTTTCTAAAAGTTTAGAGTGACACGCTCCTCTGAGACAGTTTGCATCTTCCAGGCAGACCCTCTGTCTCCACTCTCAGTAGCTGAGATCAATATGTCCATCTTAGGAGAGGTAAAGGATAAAGGAAGTGAAGCACAGCGAACACGACTGTCGTCTAAGAAGCTTCCATACTGTCTCCCAGCTTGTGTTTCCTCTAGGGGCTAAACGTCATCTTTGTAATAATACTTAAACAGTTTGAAAGGTGCAATATCTATGCATATTTAATGATGTAACATCTTCCTCCCTCTATAATCATTGTGAGTAGTTTCTTGCTGGTCCTAGCAGTCTTTTGTGGGTCCAAACCAGTCAGTATGTCATCTGGGCCCCCAATCAAGGACCTGCCCTGGATGTTCCCTATGTTGCCAACCATTTATTCAAAATTACTTCAATATCAAGCCAAACATAAAATGTAATCATGTACACAGTTATACTCATTAAATTATTACATGCCTGATGCATAAGGAGAGGAACTTTTGTTTTGGAATAGGCTATTTTCACTGGTCCTTGAAGCTTTGGTCCGTTTAACAATATTGTGTGGTTGGACACTCTCTTCATTGACAGATTATCAGTAGAGACAATCAAAATAATGATAATAATGATCATTCAGCAGAGTCTGAATGAAGAAGGGACATTCATCTGTCATACAGCTTAGGGTGGGGCTGAGACTGGAGCGTTTCCCAGGTGGCATTAGGTCACAAAGCAGGGAAACGTCCCAGATGGGAAGCCAGCACATCACAGGACAAATTCATGTTATACACACAAACTATCAGCGACGTAGAGTCGCAAATGTGCCTAACCATATATTTTGGGGTTAAGGGAGGAGTTTAATCCCACAACCACGTTATCAGGCTAAGTTGTGCCTGCGTGGTCCCTCCACATGAGCAATGATGTCACTTCACATGTCCATGAAGTCAGTGTGCCCTGTCCAGAGGGGCCACTTCCAAGTATACTAAACCTAATGGCCATTAACTTCAGTCCATTTGACAACTAATGGAGACCACGCTGAGACGGCTGCCACTAGCTTCACGGTTATTTATTCTCTTACCACAGTGGTTAAATTCCCCATGGTAGGTCACAGCTCAGTAACCCACAAGTGTAAACAAAGGACAGGCGTTTTGATTGCAAAATAGTTCCAGTATCTCCGGTGCCCAACCCAGACGTCTGTTAGACTAAAGGGAGATCAGGCTCCCAATGTCAAAGCCCAGGACACAGGCAGGACATGAGTGGGGGGGGATTCACCCTTTAGGAAGTGTCATCAGCAG